GATGCCTGTGCCAACACGGGTTGGCTCAAATGGCGACAAGTTACGGGCATTCTCTGTGACCACCAAATGCCCATAGCACTCAAGGGCAAGATCTACAAAACCGCTGTATGCCCAGTCGCACTGTGGGGTTCTGCGTCCTGGCCAGCAACCACCAAGCACGTGCAGACCCTCCACGGTATGGAGATGAAGATGCTTCACTGGTCCTTCGAGCCTCATGCAACTCGACCGCGTTACGAATGAAGATGTCTGAAGGCACATGGGTGTGGCGCCCATAGTCAACAAGATGCGGAAAGCCCAACTCCGTTCCCATCAGAAGTAGTGATGATACAGTGGTGAAAATGGTCTACCATCTACCGATGGCCGAAGAAGCGGTGGCTCGATCATCAGGCGGAGGACATTGTGCACAGTTAATATCACCCTGACAATGCCCTGGACCGAGCCAAGTGGTGAAAGGCGTGCAAATAAGCGGATCCTGCACCAACGCGGGACACATGCTAGGATGAAGACTATTTTTACTGTATATTTAATCAAAGAAATGCAGCCTTGATAAACACTAGGTATCTATAAAAAAACAATTTTACTGACCTTAAACATTCGATCAGTAGTTCATTGTAAGTCAACAGAGAAGAGCAACAAGTAAGAGAAGGCATAAAGGTTTGGAATGACATGATGGTGCATAAATAATGACAGAACTTAGATTTTTTGCATAATCTGTCTTTCTTCACATCTACCTCCTTCTTTCTTCCATCTCCCTCTGTGCCTGAGTCATCTTCACTCTCTCAGCTGTGTCTTGCCCTCAGTTGCTTCTTCCTTTCTCTCTTGGGCGATGGACATGCTGTCCATATAAGCCTTGGATAATGAAGTCTGTGTATGGTGAAATACGATTGAAATCCTTTTAGTGCTGGCTTATATCGACTCTCTTGTATGCAGTCAAAGGCACCTCTCTCTCTCCTCCACACCCCTCCCGCTCCCCTCTTTCCATCATGTTTTGATGTCAACTAATGGTCTATGTACAAAATTCTCCTCCGGTGGGTACTGAGCTAGACATAATGGGGATATCTCATCTCATGACCTGAAAAAATGTCTTCCTAGGACGCAGACCTTCTCATGTCCTTCTGCGAGTTCTACAGTTTCCAGACGAAAGCCTCCTTTATACTTCCACATTTGCTGGAGATGATTTACTTGTCGTGGACTGGAAAACACAGACTGTTGTAATATGACTTTGCTTAAGATCAAATCATTCAAAGAAAAGGATGCAATATCATTGGAAAATATTCAGAAAGGTAATAGTACAATAAAAAAAGGAAATTCTCTGGAAATTATCCAATACCAGACAAATGTAATTAAAACAATGTAAAAAAGTCAATTTAACCCTTTAGGCGCCAGGGTTTTTTGGAAAAATGCTGGATTTTGACATCAAGATTTCAAAAGCTTGTGGCTTGAAAGGGCTTAAAGATAGAGATCTACTGTAAATTAGAAAAATGTTGGGCATGACCGAAAGTTTATGTGGGGTGTAAATATACTCATCTAATTAGCATATTATGGCGTCATCAGGGGGAGGCCCTCTTGAATGTCATAATATTCAGGAAATTATAGATATTGAATTGATGCTTGAACTTATTTGCATGTTTTTTTTTGTCTTTTTATCCTCATTCCAAATGATCAGAAAAGAGGAAACCAACAATAAAACAGGAGAAAGTACTAAAATTATTACTATATTACTATACTATATAGTAGTAAAACGCATGTGAACAGTAGCCTACTTTTTGATCAGTTCATCAGTAATATTCAAGAAATAGTAGATATTAAATGGATGTTTGAACTTATTTGCATGTGTGTTTGTTTTTTTGTCTTTTTATCCTCATTCCAAATGATCAGAAAAGAGGAAACCAACAATAAAACAGGAGAAAGTACTAAATTACCAACAGGCTCATCAAAGCGTTTGATCCAGTCCTGATACACTTCTTCATTTCTCAAATAAACCCAGCCACCATTGTCATCGCTATTTCCAGCCCTATTTAGATCCAGATCACCCCTGCTGCCTCTACCACATCTCCCGGCTCTCCCACGCACAGCACGGCCACGTCTACCGCGGCCACTCCCACCTCTTTGGGGC